AAGCCAATAAAGTCTGCTTAACAACCTCGTGGAGAGCTTACAGAAGATATCGGCCATAAATAAAATTGCAGCCAGTATTGAAAATGTCTAAACTGCTAAATGCACTGTCAGAACGACATACACTGTCAAGGAGTACTTCATAGTCTTCAGTGCTAACTAGTGGCCAGGGTTACATGTGAAGTTGTTGCGATGTGGTATGGGCGTTGTGTTTTACGCAGTCAACTAATCAGAGGCGCTCTGCTGACTTCCACAAGGAAAGGGTCCCAGGTCGCCATGGCCATTCAAGAAGAGATGGATACGCCTAGATGTACTTTTGAACGCTGATCTCAAATCCACTTTCCGTTTGTAGGGTCGATCTCCTGCCGTGTTTACTGTTTCGCTTTTCTTATAAATACATGGCAACGGCTTTCAAGAACCTTGCCGCAAGAAGGTCAACAGTAAGCACGCTTGTGAATCCCCACTACTACCTTTGATAAATGGTCAACCATCGTGTTCGGCTGATATCAAAATTTTCCACGATCCCATCCCAAGGGTATTCTCGATACGACCCTTCCCACCACCACCTCCTCTGAAGGAGGTCACTCGCGATCGCGAACACGACCTCCTACCGCTCGCTCCACCCCGTCGTCACCACTGTTGTTTCTATAGTTTCTAAAGCGGCTCTGTCGAGCCGAGGTGGAGGTGTACGGGGCTTGAGCGAATACGTCTCAAGAAACGGTAATTGTTCTGATTTTGTTCATTTCATGCATGCTTTTTTAGTTTGTGGCAAATTTTATCAAAAAAAAACTGAAAAAACGATCACCCCCGCAATCACGACATCTTCAAGTTCCAAATAGACGACCCTCCCTCTCCGGCCTTTTCGGCTTTGAAGACCACAATTGCGACCCCCTCCCTAAATCCAAATAGCACGATACCCGTCTGGATCATCCGAACGGACCATGCTTAAGATTCTCAACTCAGTTCTCCTTAATCTTTAGTGTGTCACCGGCGATGGAATGGAATAGAGACATCAGACGTCTTAAACTGTTCCATAATTTTTTTCTTGTTTTATTTCTGAAAATAACATTCATCATAAAGAAGAATATATTTTCCATAAAACACCTCTAAAACGCTAACGTAAAGCTACAAGCGTGCTTGACAGTGAAAAGCATCACATTTCAAAACGAATAAAGGCAGCAACGAAACGAGTGAAAAGCTAATCTAAACGGGAAAAAAGGCAGTCCTCAATTTTGCCTTCTCAATTCGAGCAGCACACATTGTTCACGTTACATGAATAGCCGTCCGGACACTGAGCATTCACGCAAGGACCTAAAATTAACACCATGGTACAAAACTGTAACAGCTTATTCATAATATCAGGCTTTTTCTACCACTAGATTTCTGACGGAGGCTTTTCGAGGGCCCCTGGATTACTTCTCAATTCTCGCTTTCGAAGTTCAAAATTACGGTTAAATCAATGTCTACCTGCAGAAGATTGCGTAGTGATTCGATTATAAGTACGACATTTCTTTTGTAGGCAGCGCCATTTGGTGACGAATTAAAGGAATAAAAGGATAAAGCATTTGCCGTTGATCAATCCCTTTTGGGATGCGGCACGCATTCTACTTCCATTTGTACATTCGTAGTGGCGTTTGAATGCGATGTGGCCTATACAATGACTTGCGGGGCCAGCCGATGTACAAGTCAGTGTTTTTATCCTCCCAGACAAGTCTGGTACCAATTAACCGACCCCGGAGGGATGGAAGGCTTGGTTGGCCCGGGCGACTCACGACCCAGGATTTGATCCCGGACCGCTCGCGTGGTGAGCGCGCCACTTGTCACTGCACCACTTCCGCCCTGACTGTGGTTGGAAAAATAATCGTAAAACAAATATTCCGAAGGAAGAAAGATGGTCCTCTTGTCTTCACCAGGAGCTAAGCATAGGGTTTTTCTAGATGTTTATAAAAAAAGATAAATTAGGATGTGTTGGGGTCTGGGTCCGAATGCCATGCTAGATGTATAGTGGAACGGATTTCGATGGGGAGGAATTTGTGGAGCCGAAATGTTATAATGCTTTATTGTTTAGCAATCAATATAGTCTGAGCAGACGTTTCCGAAGATCCGGAGATTCTGGTAATGGAAAAGAGGGGTATATGGTGTGAATGAAGGTCACAAAATATCGTGGTTCAGAATTATATAGCCCATGTATTACCGAATACTATTGTGGTACAAATACTATTGTGGTAAATGTAAAAATGGACTACTCGCTTGATGCTTGAAGACGGATTTCACGATGAAAAAAAAAAGGAGCCCATTGGGAATTAGGTTAGAGATGGTGCACGAAAGAGGAAATAGCTATGGGTGAGAGAAATAGGCGCTTGATAAAATCACTAGTTCAGATGGCAACAGATAACCTATCCGCTAACTCGCAGATCTGCCCCTGGTGGCTGCACGAGTATGACTTGCAACTAATTATTATGGTCTTTCTGCGGACTCTAGCGTTCAAGGGAGAGGCGAGCGTAGCGTTCAGATTGATGACGAGCGAACGATGTGGGCTCTCTTACAGGCGTTGGGTAAGGGTCTTATGATTACGGACGTGTGGAAATGTTATCAGAGAAAATTTTGGCACACTTGGCGTCGGGCGAGAAGAGCGGAATAGGAAACGGAGAGCAGCTGGGAGAGCGAGACGTCGTCCATCGACTGCACTCAGAAGTGGCGTTGTTTTGAAGTGGGGTGTTATTGAAGTGCAAGCTTTAGCGAGCCCTTGACCCGTTTTGGATGGCGGAGTGTTTTAGAGGCGACTTATATATTTTTGTATTGGGAACGAGAAAGATATTATCGAAGGAGGGCTTTGAGGAACAGTAGAGGGGGTCTCCTTCACCTCCTCGAAGCCCTTCCTTTCATCAGTATGGAAGTTTAAGCACATCGCGTTGTTGTACTATTTTCTAAGCCAAAGCATAACGTGTGTTGGCCTTTCCTACGAGTTACATTCAGTCATTTGAAACTCCTCTTGTAGTCACGTAATACGGTATCATGGTCGGCTCTTCAATAGTTTATGCCAGCCGGATCCGCAAAATTATCACGATAGTATACAACCAATGCATCGCTGAGCTTGTGTTGCTCCCGGGAAGACGGTACTCGGCTGGCTGATGATGTACGGCGTGTAGATGACGGGGACGGAGTATGTGTATGTTGTTGTTGTGTAGCAGTTCATGTAGCATGGACCACATGCTGGAAAAAATAGTGGAATTCCACGATATTTCAAAATTTACGATGCATAAATTAAACATTATTCATATATTTACTTGTGGAAGCAGCGAAAACTTTGCAATGATTGGAAGGGAGACCAAGAACAGGAACAAATAAAAATAAAAAAACAAGATTCAGAGACTTACGATAATAAGAGGGGTACTGATTCGGATACGAGCCACAAAGGTAAATGGAAAGCGCGAACTGTCGTTTCCGACGAACCAGACCATGTTCCTTGTCCGAATCTGGAGCGGCCACGGCCGCTGCTAGTAGTAGTAACGCTATAGCGATTGTCAGCTTTACAGCCATATCTATAAAACACTACCATACTGTCAGAGCTACAGTACTGGACTGCGAAAAAACGTCGACCAAACAAATTTGGTTAGTGCATGCACAGCACACAGATGAACATACTCCATAGCTCTTAAACGAACTGATACAAGAGATAAATAGAGGAAAATCCTTTTGCCTCAAATTTTGCCTCAGATGTTGAGGTTTATGGATGGAGCATTTTCCACATAGGATAGGCCGTTTGTTGGACAAATCTCAGACGAAGGGAATAACACATGGTGAAAGAATCTGTATGATTCCGGAGAGAAGCTATCAAAGAATTCTCTTCACCTTCTATGAGAAATTTCGAAATTTTGAAATTTCGCATAAGTAATCTCACAATCAGTTTCTACCATTTAAATGGCTCTACCTATTGCGCTCGGAAAGTTGACTGTGTGGAGTGAAGGAATGAGCAGGCTGGCGCTCACGCTACTACAGACGGCCGATAGGGACATCGTGTGCCCACCTATGTGAAATTCACACGACCACAAATTTACCACAGTGATGATTAGTCCAACTACAGAATGCAGCGCTCCAACAAATACACATTCATGTGAACTGGGGAGGAGCACATTTCCATGAAAATTTCCCAAATGCATTTCCTTCCCTTTGATTTTGTCACTATTTGCTCCATTTCTGAGATCGAGGATTCGTTTCTTTGCTTTTCAACGTCGATTCGATCTACTAAAGCAGCTTCTGCCAAAAAACATCCCAAGCGTGAAGTCGACAGGACTCGCAAATTGTTTGAAGAATAGGTGGTTTTGAGTACTCCAACATACCAAATGCAATTAGTAGGAATAGCTCTTTGGGTCTTACATCTTTGAAATTTAGGCGCAGAGTTTTTGATCTCTGCTTAGTTCATAAGCTGATACAAGGTCTTTGTTTGTGAGGTTCTGAGCTAAGTCCAAATTATCACTTGCTTTTATGCTTTAATGTCTTCAAGATGACACGTTCGAGAACTAGGGGAGGTTCTATGAAAATCTCCTTAACGCGACCTAAAACTAATCTACGTGCCAAAAGCTTCACGTATAGAGCTGGCAGTGATTATATAAACATTGCAAAGAACATACCGGTTACTCTGTCACAAGCTCAGTTCAAGCATCGTATAGTCACAATACTGAGGAACCAAGAGTCATAGTTTTGTGAGACTGATTCCGAAGTTACCTGTTTTAGTATTTGAGTTTTTTGTTTATAAGCACACTGTTCTTTGTATATGCTCATTTTCTTTTCCACGTGTGCCTTTTGCAGACGTAATAAACTTATACTTATACTTATACTTATAAACTTTGAAAGGAGACCTAGGTACATCGATAGAGTCTTGGACGCTGATTACAAATATGGACACTAAAACTGCTACGTGAACTTTGTAAGAAAGTTGTGAGCCTTAAAAGTTGCAAAAGAACGCTAATGATGAGGTGCAACCTATGTGGAAACACGGTTGCTTTTTGCCTGGAACTTGTTCTATAAGGGTAAATGGGTGCCCTGATTACGAATATGAGACTCGTTTTTGGCGCAGAGCCACGGCGACTGTGATTCCACCAGGTAAGCTCGCCTCAGTAACGTTTTTTGCCAACTTTGAAGGCTCATAACTTTCTTAGGAAGTTCACGTAGCAATTTTAGTGCCCATATTTGTAGTGGCCTTCAAGGCTAGGTCTCCTTCAAGGTTCTATGGGAAGTTCAAAGCATTCCCTGGTTAGTCCCGTTTATAAGAAAGAGGTATTTGACGCGGTTTTAGATGCGCTCCCGCAGCAATGCCTCTGTATCTTGTGAAAGTTCCAAAATTTTTTCACAGATACCGCATTTCACGAGGTGCTTGGATATATTCCAATAAACTTGCTCAGAATTTTAATGAACGAGATTCCGACGAGCGAAACTCAACGGTAGGACGGCTCTCGATAACTTCAGATAGAAATTACCCGATAGGCCATGTAATTGAGTCAAGCTTCTTGAACTTCCTCCTAACTTCCAGATAATTTGCCCTTAAAAGCGTCTCCGTAGAGCAATAAAAATAAACGTCATAGTAAATAATAGCATCATAATTCACGAGAAGTAAGAAAGAAACGGT